CAGACAACCTTTCAGAAGTGAGACGCCAAGTTGCTGACCCCCGATCTTCAGGTCAGTGGCGAGGGGTGGGGTGTGGAGCCTGCTAAGTGTCCTTCCAACACCTCCTCCATCTCCTGTCAAAACCATGTCGCCGTGCTTTCCTGCCCTGCCTCATCCCTCTTCTTTTGGGCCCTGTTTTCCTAGTGTAAATGCTCTTGGGGAGAGATCAACCCATCCGACCTTCATCTGTCTGGGTACACGCATCAAGTAATGGGACGGCTTTCCCCAGAGCGGAAGCTGCGAGCAGTGGCCCAAGGCGGACCACAAGGTTTCCCAGGAATCTGAAGTAGGAGGTGGACACCATCAGGTGCGGTGAGCTTGGAGAGAGGGCAGAACGCGGGCAGCAGGGCCGGGGTGCCAGGGATCCTTGGACACAGCAAGAGGTAGGGCGAGGAGGCACTAAAAAGTGAGAGAAGCCCGGAGATGGGAAGTGGGAAAGAAACAGACACATCCCTTCTTTTTGTCATGAAAATAAGGCCCCAGGGCCACTGAACACTCTAAGTTTACTATGACATGACTTTGGGAGACACCCAAACACAAGGACCATAGTTTGCCGTGTGCAGATCAGCCAGTAATTTTAAAGCTCTCTCAGGACTGATCAGCTAACACCCAGCTAGAAATCTAAGCCGATCGTGTACCAGCCAGGCAGAGCCGATCGAGGATGCCATTTCTCCTATCTGATCCTCCGAATGCACTTAAAGTATCAAACCCGAGAATCTGGGGAGGAAAAGTATGCTCCCAATTTATTGTTACCTTTTATTTGACAGTAAAACTAGACGAGAGTAAGTTGTTGCTCATGTAGCTATTAAAAGAACACAACCAACAGTTAGAAACTGAACTAGAAAATTAGGGCTATAGCCTGAAACATACTAAGTGTCCTAAACATCCCACAATGGAGCCATATATCAGAAACAGTTTGTATTTCCAGTTTTATTTCCTCCTGGCATAATTAAAATTGGTTATATTATCACTCTGTGTATGAAGTTGCCCTGCCCTGTAATTTCCCCCAATTCACCTCTTTTCAAGAGGGGAGGCCTCCCATTCCCAAACTCCGTATGACAAACGGGTTGAAACTTTCCCCATCCGTTTTCCACCCATGTAATTGAGGCTCTGAATGCAGATCTGTTTCCTCAGCGATGACATTTCAAGGACCGCACATCCGACAGTGGCACTGGTGTTTCCCTTAACAGGGCTTGCTGTTGGGTTACTAAGTCCGATTCTTCCTCAGTGACCACGGGAAACCATAGGAGGGCAGGTGGGGTCTTTTATTTCTGCACTCAGACTTTCACTGACTCTCAGCCACACATTTCTATGTTTGGGAACCATAAGCTCTTCTCTTCCCTGATTTCTATGGAAATTATATACAAAGTTCTGGGGTTTCCAGAAACTGTGTCAGTAAGATTTCTCTTTTCTCTGCTATTACGCAGCAAGTCAGGGCCACACATCCATCTGAATTCATCTGCTTAACAGAAGTGGAGCCACTCACTTCAATCTCTCGTCACTTGGTTGTGTCACGTGATAAGAATTACTGTCACGGCCCTGTCATGGAGGCAAATTGAAACTGTGAGACTTGAACTTGAAAAAGCCTTTGAAACTGTCCTATTGGAATGTTATTTTCCACCTGAAACTGAGTGATTCCACTTCACAGAAATGGAGCTATCCCGCAGGTTACAAGCTGCCCCTGTCTCTCGGCTGTAAAAACCCACATCATTGATGTTTCTCTTTAGTATTCTTGGCAACGCACATTAAACATTGATCTGTTGATTATAACGGGGTCACTTACAGAGCTACAGAGAGAAACAAGGATTTTCAGGAGAAAAACCCAGAGTGGTGAGTGAAAGTCTTACAAGTCAGGCATTAATTAGACTCTGGTTTGTAGACAAGGTTCAGACGTGCTACCTGTGGTTGGCTCACTACTTCTAACCCCGGGAGCCTCTGCACCCCTGACAGTGTGGGTGGGTGACTCTTTGTGATGGGGGCTCTCCTCTGCAGTGTAAGATGTTTAACAGCGTCCCTGGCACTCGCCCACCACAAGCACCCTACACTCCACCAGCCTCGGGACAACCCAAGTATCTCCAGACACAGCCTTGGGATGCAAAATTGTCTTTTGCTGAGAATCAGTCTTAAGGATTAGTTTCCTCGATGGTAAAGTGGAACTAATGAGAGTGGAGAGCTGCTGGTGGCTCAAGGTGAAATGCATCCGAAAGGTTGATCTATTCCATGACCATAAGGTGTTATTATTTTACAGACATATGTATTTGTTCACACACTGAATTTAGGTATTTTCATGGGTAACAGATTTTGCAGGCCTCAGCTGACAGAGCAGGAGAAATGTGTTTAGAGGAAATTTATCCACTTAACAACTGCCAAATCAAGAGTTAAAAATGTACAGACACACCAACCCAACGTTTTCATGCCCAAAGAAAGGATGGGAATGCCAAATGGGGATGTGACCCAAATTACCCTGGAGGTTTAGTCTAATTTTAAAAATCTTTGAAAATAGGAAAATTAGCGTGGAATTAATACTCCTGGAATAATTAACACCCGTTCTCTAGAAGGTTAGTAATCCCAAGTTATTAGAATAAAATTAATTTTCCTTAAAAGTTTCTAAGTTATTTGGAGAATTTGTACACAGTAGGCATCATCTGAAAAGCATGCTACTAAGAGTGAAGCTGAAGACCCCTGGGTGTTCTTCTGGAGGGACAGGTCTGCTTTTAAGCAGAGTTAAGGTCAGTGGGCATAGCTCTGGAGCAGGCAGCGAGGTGGAAGGTAGCTAAGATGTTCCCATCAGGAGCAAAACCTACTACTTGATGGAGCTAACTGGATAAAGACATCTGAGTTCAAGTCCATGCCCAGCAAGAGTGAGGACCACATAGAAACAGAAATGGAAAAGTCCCATACTGGGGGAAGCTTAGGGTGTACTGACTCTAGATCTGTATGCCTTTTCTTCTGGGACCTATAGCTTCTAACACCCACATGAAATCTTGGAAGTTAAAAGGTTTTCCTGGAGTGCTGTTCATTCATTCATTTTTTTAAAAGTCATGTGAACAACAAAAAAAAAAACTACAGGCAAGAAGAGATTCTTTGCACTCAATTTTGTTTTTTTAATTATTTCTTAACACAAAAATGGTGGAGATTGCTGAATACAATTGTTTCCTTGTGCAAGCTACTTTCGCATAATGTCAAACAAATGCAAAAAAGAATCCGAAGCACAAACAAAATGAGTTAAGGAAAAAAAGATAAAAAGTTCAAAATGAGTATTTCCTTGCTGGTAGTGACAATTCTAATGGAGCACGAACAGGCCTGGCACTGGAGAACTGAGGGCACAGAGGGGAAGGAAACCAACTGGAAAAAGGGACCTGGACTTGGGGTTTACTTAACTCCTGAAGGTGGCAACTGATAAACAGAGCCAAAGATTTGGAGCAATTATTTCTTTCCTCCCTTTTACTCCTGTGTGAGGCTTCTCAAGAAATCCTTCCTTCACCTGACACAGCCTCTGTGGCAAACGCGAGATCGTGCTGCACATTTAAGACAACTTTAGTTTCTTTTGACTGACAACACCGGAGAAGAAAATGAACACCATTTTACAATTCTGCAGTGTCTGGTCCTTTACATTTTGGCGGCTATAGAAAATTTCCATGAGATAGGAGACGTTTTCCTCTTGGGTTTAAACCTGTAATAAAATGTTGCCGACAGGCTAATTATACATGTTTTATATATTTCGTGCATATGTGCTCCTCTCTAAACCAATTTAATTCCCATTAATGCTAATCTTGTTAATGCCCACTCGGAGAGGAAAGGAATTCTCTTAATAAACGGCTGATTTATTTGAGCTACTTAAATGGGGGATGGGCAGAAACAGATGGGCGAAACCACCATTTTTACCCCCGTCTGCATTTCTGAGAATATTTTCCAAATATTAATGCATATTAGGTTATAATAGATGTGACTAAGAAATGGGGAAAAGTGACAGTCCTCTGCCCATGAAAAACAAGGGCCTTGTAAAAGATGTTTACTGATGTGTTTTAGTACCAGCTCCAAGGGTAGAAAAAGAAGCAGATTTTCTTTGTTAGGAAAAGAGATAAATAAAAATGAGATTTATATTTGTAAGCTCTTACAGAAATGGCTTTTTCATAATAAAAAAAATAGGACGTCAGGTCAAGGTAAATTGGGCTCCTACCACACCTTGTCCTGTTGCCAGTGTGACTGTCCGTCTACCTCGATCTCCGTACCAGAACCTGTCGTTTCTCTCAGTTTCAATCAAACCGAGACTGGCTCTTAGGGTGCCGTGTCCAGGTCTGAGTGGTGTCCTTGGCACACTGTGTGGTGTGATCGGGAGCCAGAGGGCTCACCTGGAACTTACAAGAGGAAACATCTAGTTCATTCCCAACCTACCTAACGTCTGGAAAGGTACAGGTGTCTTATTTCCAAGTCTCCTGGAAAAAGTGGAGTGAAATAAGAACAAGTGAAAGATGAGGCTTTGTCCAGGATTCGCCATCTGGCCCTCAGCTAAGTCATTTAACCTCCCTGAGACTCAAGTGTCCTTATCTGTAAAATGGTGGTAATCTCTATGTACCATGTTCGTGTGACACAGTAGTATTAGGATCAAAAAAAATGTTGCATTTGAAAGCACTGTGATAACTGAAGTGGTGTAAAACCGTACAGTATTAGTAACTGGGAAACAGCTTAAGAAAAAGTGGCACAGGGCAAAAATTAAAGGGAGAAATACACGAGGCTGGACGCCAGTTTCACCCGAGCCTTGTAAGCCAGAGGGACGGATGGTTTACCCTCGGCGTCCTCTTAAAAGTTTTAACGGCCCGGCCGGGCGTGGCTCAGCCGTTGAGCGTGGACCTGGGATCCAGGCGATCGGGGTTCGATTCCCGGTCAGGGCACATGCCCGGGTTGCTGGCTCGATCAATGACTCTCTCATCATTGATGTTTCTGTCTCTCTCTCTCCCTCTCCTTTCCTCTCTCGGAAATCAATAAAGATATATTAAAAAAAAAAAAAAGTTTTAACGGCAATGGATACTCTTTCTTTATAATGATGTCCGTAAAACATAACATAAAAATTAACAAGTGGAAGTATTCAGACGAGTACAGTTTTCCTTCTTTGTTTATCCAACCGTCCGGTGTGAGCTAAAGGTGAGGACGGGGCGGCGAAGGTGGGGCCCAGGCCGCCTTAACATTCATCGGGGGGGAAAAAACTACCGAGAGAAATATCTCCAGCACAAATATTAAACCTGCCTTTTCTCTACCGATCGGTAAAAAAATATATTATATCTGATTTTCTCTTTTTTAAATTACAGCGCCCTCAGTCCCAGCCGAAGTCGTGCCCGGTCATCTGGTAGAACTTGCGGTTGAAGGGCCGGTAGAAGTCGCGCAGCCGCTGCAGCACCGCGCGGTCGATGGCGGGGTGCGGCCGGCCCTTGGTCTTGCCCAGGCAGTGCGGCCGGCCGCTGCCCTCGGCCTTCTTCAGGCAGGGGAAGCCCTTGGTCTTGTTGAAGTAGAAGTGCTTGTCGGTGATGATGCGCTTGAGCCCCAGGAAGTCCTGCACGCGGCCCAGCTCGCCGGCCGGGTCGCCCACCAGCCGCTCGCCGCTCACGAAGAGCAGCTGGCGCCGCGGGAAGTGGCGCAGCCAGCGCTCCAGGTGCTTGGCGTAGAGGCCGATCTGGATGGCGCTCCAGGACGCGTCCACCAGGCCCGCGCTGCGGTTGCGGAACGTCAGGCTCTCGAAGGGCGGGATGTCGGGCCGCTTGGACAGCGTCTGCGTGTAGTCCGAGACGGCCCTGGTCACCGGGTCGCGCACCACCACGATCAGCTTGGTGTCCTTGCACATGGCCGAGATGCGCGCGGGCGCCTCCCGCGTCACGAAGTAGCTGGGCGTCTTCTCCATGGTGATCTGCCCGTCCAGGGTTCTGGGCATCAGGTCCCTGCGCAAAGAGAACCGACGGAGCGGGTCAGCGGGTGACGCCTCTCAGTGTCAACCCTTCTAACCCCGGCTCCCTCCCCATTGGCAACAGTTGTAGANCTCCCACGCGACTGCTGCGATGATTAAAGGAGTTACTATAACCCAGTAGCTCGCAAAAGGGCCTGACACAGAATAAGTGCCATGTAATTTTTATTTTTTATTATCAATCCACAATGCTGTAAGAAAATCAAATGCTGTAAGTTGGATCAAATTCTTTAGGTGAATTAGAATATTGTAATAAACGCAGTGATACTGCTATGAGGTGGTGCTGAAATACCCTGAACACCTTCTGTAGTTTTCTTAAACACAAAGCGATATGTAACATAATACCACAGCATAGTACACAAAACACTTTATAATTCCAGAATTTTCCTATAGGAAGCAAGACTTATTAAATAATCCATCTTTTATTTAATAATTTGAAATGCCACTATTACAGTATCCTAAATATGTTGGTTCCTCTCTACATTGGCCAATTATAGTGTTTTTACGCCAAGATAAATTCTACTGTTCAGAACGTTCTAGATGAGTCCTCTTTATTCTTCCTAATGAATGTTAGAATCACTTTGTCATGCTAAGGAAAAAAAAAAAGTCCCCTGAGAATCTTGGAGTAGAGTAGACAGTGCCACCCCAGTCAAGCATGCCTTCCCACAGAGGACAGAGTGTTTTTTTTCTGTGTTTTGGTAATTTGTTAATTTTTATTTTGCAATTAAAAAATGTACTTTGTGTTATGTGAGTTTGCCTTTGTTGACTTCCTATAATTTTGCGTTACATCAAGGGTTAAAAAGTACACCTCGTGGCCAATTTGATTTCATTCATAACTTTCCCATTCCTACTTCCCCCCACCACCCCAAGTGGATTCCTTTGAAGTCTACCTCAGATGTCATATGAGTTAGTTCTCAAACATCTGTATCCATCGTGTCTGGTGCAAATTCTCCAACCTCTGTGGCATTCTAGTGGCCCAGACACTGCCTAGTTTAACGACGCAAGTTTTCTCCTATTTTTGCAGTCTGGTTATCTTTCCTTTTTTTTTTTTTTTTTTTTTT